TCGCTGCTAACACGTGTCTAATAAAAATAAAATATAATATTACATTCATTTTATACTGAAAAGACACTGTGAGACAAAGTAACCCGCAAGCAGGGGGTAACTTTGCACACAGCCCTATGTAATATTATAACATAGTTATTTTAAGCTGAAGTTTGAAAGTGAGCCAAAGCCACCCGTGTTTACGGTACTTCAATATCACAATTATTTACGTAAACAGAGCTAAAAAAATCGGCAAATAAAATTGAAATTGCATGGGGTTTTTTTTTTTAGTATTCACATATTTCCAAAAATATTGAGGGTTGCAATTGATGTTTCTTTCCAAGGACTCTATGTAATATATATAGCACTCGGCGGTCAAGATTTTACACTGATTTCTTAAAACACTAAATTTATTATAATTATTATAAAATCACTAGGGAACCGCTTAAAATCTTTATGAGCAACTTTTTTTTGGAAAATAAGATTTTTTAGGTTATTTGAAACCCAAAGAGGAAATGTATGCTTTACTACCTTCTTCTTAGGTACATAATGAAAACATGTAATTTAAAATTTCGTAAAAGGAATTCAAACAAATATATACATCATTGCTAGAAAAAAGAACATTCCAATTAACAATATTTAAATGTTCATTAAGACTAGACAAAGTAAAAGTATTCAGTTTCTATTTCATTATTGGAGTTAAACAAACATTTTCTTAAACAGATAGCCGGATGATATTTATCTCATGGTAACAAATTATCATTAGCCATTTCCGTAAAAACATTTAAATCATTACAAAAATCAAGCTCAAGCATATTATTTTTTCACAACATTGATTTGATAAAGATTACAAAGCGCGTAGCAGTCAGAGACTATACGACACTTTTCACTTAATTGACCAGATGCACATACACCACGTTTATCATTGAGCCACTGCGTGTCGGGTAGATTGTAGTCACCACATAATAAAGATGTTACATCATCATCCAGGTTGTCCATCAATGATTCAACACTAGTACAGTGGAGTTGGGGGGAAGATATACAATACCAATTACATTTTTTTTTAGAAAATAACACTTGTTCAACGTTACTTTCATCAATATGAACAATACTCGACACATTCGATAACAAAACATTAGTGTGATTTCACACCAAAGTACCATGCTTCGTGCGACTTGATGCATAAAAACTGTAAGCATGTTACTTGTTTTAAATTATTTTAAAACAAACAAATAATTCCATACCAACGTTACAGAAAAACAACACTTCTGTGCCGAAGCGGCGTATATCCTATAATTTCGCACCTTGCAAAGCGACCCGGAACTATACATTTTTGCTGTCCGGTCCGCTTTCATTTTGTTTATCTTCTTTTTAATTTATAAGTGATGTTTACTTTATCATTACATGTACATGCAGGACGATAAACAATCTAATATTTCGTTTGTGCAGTCTTTCGGTGCCTTTATGACCATACAATTACTGCAGCCATTAAGAAAATAATTGTATCTATATTTTCCGACGGCACACATTAAACATCACTATCACTTTGGTATGAAAGTAATATAAACTTGTATGTTGCATGATGCGACGTTCTTTCTGCCTCCAGGGGCACGTACACGAAAAGAACTGTTTTGGAAACGGTTACTAAAAAATTTAGTAAATTGGGGACAACTTTAATAATTTTAGGAGTGAGTGCTTTCGTATTAACACGGTGGTCAAAACTTAAGTATAGGACGAACAAAAATGCCAACCAAAATTAATAGCATATTCTGATTATAGAGTCTATAATATAGACCCTTCTGGTAACACAAACATGTATTTATCAAAATCCCAGCTGATCCTATTTTAAAGTTTTACAAACTTTTTTGTTTTCTTTTTTCTATATATTATTTTGCAATTATTGTACTAAAACTACCTGTACAATTTTAATAAAATTAAGCAAAATAATAAACATTTAAATGACTTTACTCCCCAGTATTAATTTATTGAGTCACCTATTATTTTTACCACTCAAAACAACGAAGTTTTGTTTTATATCTTAAATATTTTTTGTAACAAAAAAACTAAAAGTTTGTCTATAAAATAATTACAACTTGCAAATTTTGTAAAACAATAATTAAGGTGGTTATGAAAACAATTTTTTAGTTGTTTATTTAATCTATATATACTTTATAAAGTTAAAAAGAGTATTTTAAAATAAAAATTAAACCGAAATTTAAGTTAAGCCATATAGAAAATCGAAAGAAGGTATGTGCTGACTCTAACCCTATAGGGTTTCTGTGAAAATATAAAAATTACTGACTTTTTCAAACGAAAACTTAAGTGTAGTAAAGCTTTATTTGAGCGAAAAAACGATATTTTTGCAAGGCCACAATTGCCAAATTTTCAAAAATTTCAAGTATGTATGTGCTTTATCTGCAAAATGGCAAGTTATAAAGGGCATAAAAAAATATTAAGGGAAGAGGACGGACGATCCAAGCGTTTATTACAACAAATCAGTTTTGATATGCTCTTCCTGTCTAGGGGATATCGCTAGAGGTAAGAAGCATGTTTGTACAAAGACTGAAGCCTTTAAAAATACTGTTTCCATGTTAAAAATAGTTCCATGTAAAACCCAAGAAAAAGTTATACTAAAAATTTAAGGCAAGCAGTAATCGATTTTGCTTCAAAGAATCTTTAACTATTTATTAGTTTTGTATTACCTTAAATAAAGATATTGCAAACTGTATTTTACATTATTTTGTATTTATAATGTAATTTATCCATATTTCAGTCATGAATCTGCCAAATTTTTATTAACATTGGATTATGGTACTATAGAGTATTTTATCGAAATAGCATAAACAATTTTAAAATACTAAGAAATATGCAAAACTTTAATAAAGGATCAGCTGGGATTTTGATAAATACATTTTTTTGTTACCTAAAGAGTCTATAATCAGAATATGCTATTAGTTTTGGTTGATATTTTTGTTTGTCCTATACTTTAGTTTTGACCACCGTGTTAAGTAATGATTTCTAAGCTTCTATTTTTAGCATACATGCACTGTTTAAAATATCTGTGGTGTAAAGAGTAATCTTAAAATGGTGTCAAAATCCAACACCAAGTGGTGTTAATATAAACACCATGAATTATGGTTGAAAATGATATATACATCAAGCACTAAAACGGTGTTTATCTAAAAATATTTGAGAATTGCACCTACACAAAAAAAATAAATAGTTCATTTAACTATATTAATTTGGTTGACCCATAAGTATTTATTTAAATTAACTGTGGGAAGGTCAATATAAACAAAGATTAGTTTGACGGTACTAAAACAGATAGTTATTTTATTTTTTTTTAAATTGGTTAAATTAACCCAGAAAACTTTAGTGAAACCAACCCGCTCTATGGTTCAGTTTACTAAATATGTTGTTTGTAAAATAAGAGTTACTTCAATCTAAAGCACTCTGTTAAAACGATTAAAACAATTTGCCCTGCATTCCTTGTTGCATAGTGTGTACCGATCGCGGCAAAGGCGGTGTGGATCACGTGATGTTCTTAAATCTCGGCTCTGTTGACTTACATGAAGAGTATATAAGCTCAGGGAGTCCTTTGCTTTGGTGTGACACTACAAGAGACCTTAAATAGGTGGAAACAGCTGTCAAAACTTGAAGTATTTTAAGTTGGTGGAACGCACTAAAAACATTATCTCTAGCGAGTTGAAGGTTAAATTTTCTGGAATAATACCACTGATAATATACTAGTAATGCGTCAAGGAACTTCCTGTTTCCTTTTTTCCTGTGTAGTATGATTTAATTTGACCAAAAACATATAATATTTAACACTGAAAAGGAGTTCAATTTACACCAGGTAAAATTTATTTTAATACTGTGTGAAATTCAAATTTACACTATTTTAGTATTTGAATTTACACTGGACCAACGAACCATATTTAACACCATTTTGGTTTGTATCGATATAGACCATGTATGGTGTTAATTTGGTGTTAAAATGGTCATGAAATTTTGAACAGTGTGTGCTGGGACAGCTTGTGGGGTAGTGCTGCAGAGCGTAGGTAACAACAATAAAAATTTTAAGTCATGCGCCTGCAATCTGTTTGACTAGTAATTGTAAGTAGTAATTACAAAACTAACTGAAAAAAATACAAAAATGCAGTAAATGTCCATGTCGCATGTGGTGATTTCGGAGTGCTAACGCGTACAAACTTAAATTACTTCAAAAGTATTATAAACAATAACAAAAAAACTCTTTGTTTTTGGTATGAATAATTAGATTTAAGGTTAAAATTTGTATTACACATAAAGAGCAAGAATTAAGTAATTACTTTTAACTTAACAATAAATATACACAATTAAATAATGAATTGATTTAGCACAAACATACTTTTAACAACCAATACATAATGGAATATTAATAGTAATAGTAAAGCTTAGTAATGGTTATTACTACCGTATACAATTCTGGTTTTACAAATAAAGTAATTATTATTTAAGAATTAAATAACTTCATTCAAAGTTATAGCAAAAATTAGTAGCATGCTACTTTGGTGTAAAAACCCACTCATAAATATAATAAATTTAAAATTTAAATATTTGCCTTACTTTTCTATTTGGGGTGTCCCGAAAATGGCTAACTAACGTCATATTTGACTACTTGTCAAAAAATTGAAATTTTAATATCGTGTGCTTCATTCAAGACAAAGTGTATACTTTTAAAATCTGTTTATTTTACAGCAGACAAGATATGATGTTTTTTCATATAATTGTATGCAGAAATGTTTGTTAAAATTTTATAGACCATTACATTTTTGTTTCTTAAAACATGTTAAATGTTTTTATGGTAGATCGTAGAAAAGGTAGTTTTTACGCGTCACCCTATTGCAGGTTTTTCTAATAACATAACCATGTTTTTGTTTTGATTTTTTCATTAACGAAATTAAGAAATATGCAAAATTAAATCAATTAGCTGATAGGAATACTACATCCATTAAATTAATTCTAATTGTTTTTCACAGACTCTCGCAATGATTGAGTCGAATTTGTTGCCTGACAGAAATACGTGCCTGGAATGCAAGTGAGTATATTTTTTATTTAGTCCTGTCGTTAGGAAATAATTTATTTCATCTCTAAATGTAGATGAAAATAAATTACCGAAACGTGATTTGTATTTTAGTTTTTTTGTTACTATGAAAATAAAATATAAAAATATTACTATGGAAATATAATATATAACAAACTTAAAAATGTACACTTTCCAACCATGTTTAAATGCTAAAATAGAAAATTTTGTTGTAAAATTTGAAATATAATCAATTCCATATTATATGGAAAATGAACTATATCTCAAAAACTGTTATACTTTTCTAACATTTGATGACATTTTCGGATTCAGGAAACAATTTTAGATAGAAATTGACTGCTAAATGTTAAAAATACAAATTGCTATTGACGAGAATTATAAGTGGATGCTTTTTCGCTATGACAATAATTATTAGTCATTTTTGACTAATCCATTTTTAGGGACTAAAGAATAATCAAGTACTCGTACTCTTTACTCGTGCTTTGATGATTAATACTCGTAACCGTAACCTCTCCTTAAAAATGTACTTACGAGTAAAGTACTTACGAGTAAATATTTTAAGTACTCGTACTTAAAATTTTACGAATACTTTTTTTAGTACTCGTGCCCAGCTCTGATTGTTACCCAGAAGATGTAGAATAGACTTTTGGCAATAAATTGCTTCAACTCGCTAAATTGGCAAAGCCAATCTGAAAATTCGAGGAACATTTCTTTATCCCATAATAATGGAAAACACTTGCGCTCACTTTTACTTGTTCTTAATGGTGTCCAACCGCAGTGAAGAAAGATCTTTCTCCAAAATAAAACTAATTAATAATAGGTTATTTACGAATACACGAAGTACAGTACAGTAACCATTGATGCGCAGAATACCAATCCACTCTTCAACCTCAATGTCAATGTTCTATTAAAGGGGTGTAGTTACAAAAGTCACATTATTAAATATGATCATATGCATATTCAATCGGATTTCTAAGTGGATCATGTTCGATCATGAAAACATGATCGAGGTTAGATCAGGTTTTGTAGGATTTAATTATGTTATTTATAAAGTATGCGTCAACTGGATTATATTAAATCATAAAAACGTTATCGAGTTCCAATCATATTTCGTTGGTTCAATTATCAGGTTTAAATGAAATATTTTGGGTCAACTTTATTTGATTACAATCGATAAGGTATTAAACTATTTTATCATAAAAACATGATCAGGTTTCAATAATTGTGTTTTTTTTTAATATAATTATAAATATACTTTGCTACTTCTATAGTTTAATTGTTTTATTAGACATTTACTACTATATATATATATATAATCTCCGAAACGGCTGAATAGATTTTGACGGGACTTTCATTGGCAGGTGGAGGAATTTTTTAGAAACTTTTTTTACTTTCTTCTTTGCCGAGGGTAAACCAAAACTTGGCCTTAAAAAAGATGAAACGCAGTACGAAAGGTGAGACGCGTTTTGAAAGATAAAATGCACATACTTGCGTCTTATTAAAATATTTGAACAAAATTCACACAGTAGCATAAATTAAGTACTTCAAAATTTAAAAAATGGTAGAACAAACTTGCACACTATTTCAAAATTAAAAAATCGTGGGAAAAATTTGAATAGTAGGTAGTAAAAAAATAAATCATTTTTGAAATCTGTCATAGCCCATTTTGGACATTTGTCACCTAATTACAAAATCAAAAATGACATACAGTGCTTGCAAATCCAAGTCCGACCGGGTTGTAAAGGACGGTTGTTCAATACCCGCGTGAAAATAATAAGGATAGATTCTATCCGATAGAACGCCAAACAGAAGGCGCTTACAATACGCACGCCTGCCGGCTCTGAACAATCAAATTCTGTTTGGCGTTCTATCCTTGTTTTTTTCACGCGGGTATTAAACAACCGCTCTTCCCAACCCGGTCGGACTTAGATTTGCAAGCACTGTATGTATAAAATATTTCAAATATGAAAGATGTTAAAAATGACAGACGTGAAATGTGACAGATATTAAAAAAGACAGACGTAAAATATGACAGATGTTAAAATTTTTTATAATTTCTGTCTTTTGTTTTCGACATCAAAAAGGATCAAGAGTCGATCCTGTTTTCATGATTAAATAGAATCTAATTTGAAATCTCGATCCTTGTAGGTCACGAAAACATAAAAAAATAATTCGTTTTTTTTCAGCAGGGTAACGTTAAAATTTTAGAATGTTATAACATAGTTTTAAAACACAAATCCATTATATTGTCAATAAAAGGATAAAAAACTGTTTCTCCAAGATAGTGATTGCATTAAATGCAATAACAAAAATATTTATACGTTAAGGAGAATGTTATACGAATTACGAAAAAGCATTTGTGTTTACCATCAAAATTGCATCGAAGAATGTGAATTTTGTGGCCAGCCGTGCGCAGCTGGTTGGATAATGTGTTTTGATTCGCATCGAGATATGTCGGCATGGTTTTATATACTCTCTAAAAATGTCAAAAATGACTAATTTAATAGTTATTAGTGGCTGCTTTTTCACTTGTACCATGCTTAACCATGGAATACCATGGTATGCCAAAACTTAACAGCCAAACAATGTAATTGTTCCCTGAATCCAAAAATACCTTCAAAAATTATGAAAATGAGTACCTTTGACGACAGTTTCAGATTCAGGGGATAATTTTACATAAGTATTGGCTGTTAAATATTTTGGGATACCATGGTATCCCATGGTTAACCATGGTACAAGTGAAAAAGCAGCCACTAATAACTATTAAATTAGTCATGTTTGACTAATTCATTTTTAGAGAGTAGAATAATTAATTTTTTTTAATCCGATTTTGCCATCATTAAGCTTTTAACTTTTACTACAAGATGGCACCTCTCACACATTGTTCACAACAAGTGGAGAATGTGACTTTTCTGAGTATACCCCTCATTTAAAATCATACAATTTCTAATAAAACCTCACGCGTTACTTTGACAACAGCAATGGTTATTTTTTTACATCAATGAGAAGTGCCTATACTGCCGTGCTAAGCACAAAGGCGGTAACTGCCATATGAGGTAAAAACAATAAAAAATTACTTTTGTACTTTATTATTAATATTGCCTGCTTAGCACGGCAGTATAGTAAGCAATATTCTGCATATTAAATATTATTTACAGTAGGTAGTTTAAAAAATTAGTTTAGTTTAGTTTATTTATTCTGAGCATAAAATATATTATTATGTATGTTATGTTCAGGATAAAAAACTGCACATATATCTATATATACATTAATGATTCACGTACAAAAAAAATAATACGGAATATTGTTTATATTACAAAATACATCACATTGAGATACAATAAATATTTTTGTACTTCCTTTTCATTTTTGTTTACTCTACTTTCTACGTTTGGTAAAGGGCCCTACCAACTGCAAACACTATTGTAAATAAATGAAGTTAATTTCATTTAATCCCAACTATGGTTTTAAACATGTTTTGCATATTAAATCCGTTTGCAATGTGTTCAAATTAAGGTGTAAACAGTTATATGTATGTGTCGGCAAAAAGTTTTATTTAATATCTAAATTACAACCCCAGGCTTTCATAATTACATGAATTATAACATTCTGCGCATACTAAAATCTAAGTTACAATCACAAATAGCAGAGGCAATATATGGTTAATATAACTAAGAAATAAATAATAAATATCTTGTCGCTTCATAAGTTCTGTTCTGATAAAACGCGATTTATTTAAAATTACTCATCTTTTAAAAATTTGTATTTTTTGTACAGGGTAAACAGTAACTTAAAAAAAAAGTTTCACGTTACAAATGATTAATAAGTTAATTAATAATATTGCCAACAATAGTTTTACTTCTTGTGTATTCAATAAAAAAGTGTACCGTATAATGTTTCAAAATTGCATTGTTATAAATTTTTAACAAATATACGCAGATCGTATAAAGGGCATACAAATATTCATGGAAATAAAGTTGCAGATAATAAAGCAAGCAATATAAGAATCTAGTACAATGCTATAAATTCTTCGTTAGTACAGTTTATATGGAAAGTATGTATAGGACGGATAATTAGCGCTGATCATACGTGCCCATTCCTCATACGCTACGTACGACTTTTATATGCATTACCACGGTGTTGTTCTAATAAGTGATTTTCAGACTTTCTGTAAAACTTTTTTTTGTGGTACACATAAAAAAATCTAACATAGTAGGTACCAAGAACAGCGCTGTCATTGAATGCATTAAAATTAAAGGAATATTAATTGTTATTTGCTCAATTAATTACTATTAAACCAAAATAGGGAAATATTTTGCCTAAATGTCAAAGAATTTATTGCGTTAAATGTATACATAGTATACATACAATAGTAACGTTATTAAATAAATCAAATTAGTATTTAATGCAATAACATTCTAACAAATAAATGTTAATATGAATATCAATAGATTTAGGAGCGATAACTTTTGTTGTTAATTTAAAAACAGTAAACGATTATAAACCAAGTGTTAACTACCTATTGGTATTATAGGAACTGTTATTCAGGAATACGGATTACAAGATCCCATTGGTTTAATGGCTCACCCAGGGCCGGATTTAGCATGGGGCCAGCGGGGCCACGGCCCCAGGGCCCCCACCATTTAGGGGCCCCCACCAATGCAATATATAGGTTTTTAATGAAACGAATATGAAAAAAATTGTCGAAAAAACAAAAAATTGGGTCGGTTATACCGCGCGAACCCTGTAATTTTCAATTAATTTTTCGTAGATCGAAGTTTAACTTTTCGCGATCTAAGTCTAATTTTTCGCTTATCCGCTTGAAAATGAGAATGTAAATTATCACATTTAAAGTTTTAGCGCGCGAAGACCTTTTTATAAAGTCTGTAGTCATAAGTTATGACTCATAACAATTATAAGCAGTTGCTCCTTTAGTGCTTGTCGTAACGTTTTTGTAGATACAGGCAATCAGTCAATTACTTATAACCTTAGTT